AACGTGGGTATTACGTAAGAAAGTGGAGCTTAATGATGGGTTTGGGTTTTCAAGTCGGTTTACTGGTACATGGTCTAATGGGGATGGGTTTATGAGTGTAGATGGTTTAAATGAAGAATCTGACCAGGATGAGAGAGTGATACATCGGAAATGAAAAAATGGTGGGAACTGATAACGTGGGCATGAAGATTGAGGGCTAACAGTAAGCATGAGGTGGTCAGTGTTGTCAAATTCATTATTGGAATTGTGAAATCCCATATTTAAGTTGTCAATGTAGCAAGTGTGCGCGGACGTATTTTGGGTGTTGCATTTTTTGTGAAATCGCAAGAAAAGTTTCGAAATCCTGATAAATGAAATTGATTATTGGGGAACTAAAATATTGATTTATGCTTCTGTGGTGCAGGTTAGGTAGCTTTGATGACATCTAACATTGGGTCAACATCTTCAAAGCGTCTTGCTTGTTACTTTCATGTGGGTGGGAAGTTTGCAGAAAATGGTGATGGTGAAGTTAAGTACTATGGTGGAACTGTCAGGGTAAGAGTGATCAAGGAGGGTATAAGGCTTGAAGATTTGAGGGTTATGATAGGAGAATGGTTTGGTGTAGATAGTAATGGTTGCGACATTAAATACACATTGGGCTTGAATGATAGGATATTAATAGATCTTATTGATGATGATGAAGTTGACAACCTATTTGAGTATAATGATAGTAATGCACATGTATACGTAGCAGCTAAAGGTAATGAGAATACGGAGGAAGAAGTGGCTGATCGAAACAGGTAAGTCACAAGTTTCGGATTATGGAAGTTGTTACTTGCGATAATGTTGTTGTTAATATCATAACAAATGTTGTAATTATACATGCAGCATGTCAAAATTGTCAGGACTGTCACAGCAAAATGATGAGCCAATGATTGAGGATGCTGTCGAATGTGTGAATTACATAGCAGCTGAAAATGTTCTTAGCCTGCCATATGCAGTAGAGAGTGCACCAACTCCTTTGCCAGGAATGAATTCCCTGAAATGGAAAACAGTATTGTTAGGATTGAGGCAGACTTTTCCAGATGCGGATGATTTCAAGAAGAAACTACACAAATTCAGCATTGCAAACAAATTTGAGTATAAATATGTGAAGAATTCTAATGCCCATATGTATGTCAAATGCAATGTTGAAGGTTGTCCATGGAGGATCAGTGCAAGAGCAGCTGTAAAGAGTACTCCAGCATTTTTACGTGTAACGACATTCAAAAATGAGCATGTTCATAATGCCCAAGACAATCTTCATGTGACACATGGTAGATCAGCTAGCTTGACATCATCAATTATAATTGAAGAGGTTAGGGATCATATAGACATGCGTCCAAATGATATAAAAAAGAGGTTGGAAAGAGATTATGGTGTGAAGTTGACATATAAGCAAGCATACAGGGCCAAGGAAAAAGCGTTGGAGGACATACATGGCAGACCTGATCATTCTTACATGCTTATTCCATGGATATGTGACCGGTTGAAGGAAACCGATGACAAAACAGTGGCAAAATGGGTGGCTGCAAGGAACAACAGATTTGAGCGTGTATTCATAGCCTATGGGTGTTGTATAGAGGGTTTTATTGCTGGTGCTAGACATGTACTGTATATTGATGGAAGTCATTTAAGTGGACCGTATAAGGGGACACTACTTTCAGCGTCGGCTTATGATGCGGACAACGAATTATTACCTTTTGCCATTGCGATTGTGAAGGGAGAGACGCTTGAGGATTGGACATGGTTCTTACATATGATCAAGGAGATAATTGGGTCAATGCAATTAACAATCATTTCAGACCGACACAATGCAATTATAGGTGCTGTGCAAGCAATATTCGGAGGTGAGCGACATGCGTACTGTTACAGACATGTTAAGGAGAATTTCAGTACACAAATGATCAAGTTAAATAGAGGAAGAAGGAAGACAAGTGGCAACACAAGGGAGGATGGACTGCATTTCCTAGATGCCATTGCATATGCAAGGCTTGACACAGAGTTTGATCAAGCAATGGATAACATGAGACACTTCAATTCCCAATTATTTGAATGGCTTGTCAATCATGGTGATATTCACAAGTGGGCCTTAAGCAAGTTCCCTTTTAAACGATGGGACAACATAACAACAAACCTTGCAGAGTCATTCAATGCGTGGATGCTGAAGGAGAGAAGATATAATGTTGCCCAACTTATACATGAGCATCGTGAAAAAGTAGCCAAGAAGATGTATGCAGCAAGCATGGCAATGAGCAAATGGAAGAATGGTGTAGGCCCAAATACAAATGCAACATTGATGGAAAATGTGGCGAGATCTGCACAGATGTTAAGTGTTCCTTACGGAAGGGGTAGGGTGTGTGTCCATACAGCAAAAGGAGCCATTAATGTTGATCTTGGAAAAGGTGAATGTAGTTGTGCAGCTTGGCAAATGTCAGGCATCCCATGCCCACATGCATGTGCAGCTATCAAGGCCTTGAATTGCAATGTGTATGATTTTGTTGAAGAATGCTACAAGATTACGTCCCAACAAAAGATTTATGGTAGGACGATGACTCCAGTGGTGACAATCGACATGCCAAATCCTAATAACTATCGGCTGCAAGATATAGCAAGTCAAGTGTTTTTGGCACCACCTTTGACTAGTCGACCACCTGGAAGGCCTAGGATAAATAGGCAAGAGTCGCAGTTTCAAAACAAGAAGGTCTACCATTGTAGTGCATGCCAGCAAGTTGGCCACACAAGAAGAACATGCAAGAATCCAAACCCAACTTAAGGTTTCATGTCAATACCAACAGGGGTAATTTTTTTGTTATAGGAAAGGAATGACTCTTGAACCCTTTTTAATTTTTTTGGGAGAAGGGTTGATAGGTAGGCTATCTTTTTTGTTAATGATGTTAACTGGGTAGGAGATGTTCTGTAATCTGAATGACAAGAAAACATTAGGCGGTAGGTTAATCCTAATGTTAACTTGTCATTTGGATATCAGTTATGTAGCTTCTGTCATGGGCCTACTGGTTTTTAGTAAATATCATTACGTCAGTGGTCAATTCCATTACAGATATAGTAAAGTCTGAATGTTAATGTAAAAATCGTATGATGGGTAGGCTATCCTTTTTGTAAATGATATTCACTGGGTAGGATATGTTTTGTAATGTGAATGGGGACGAAACATTAGGTAGTGGGTTAATCTTACTGTTAACTTGTCATTTGAATATAAGTTATGTACCTTCTGTGATGGGCCTACTGGTTTTTGGTAAATATTGTCACTTCAGTGGTAAATTCAATTACACATGTAGTAAAGTCTAAATGTTAATGCAGACATCCTATGATGCTCTTTTGGTGTACTTCTATGCTATTTTGGCAACACAGATGACCTTTTGTTTAATGCCCTCAAGGGAGATGGTGGAAGTTGCCAATGGGTATGACTGGAGTGGTTAATGTCATCAACGATGTTGTTATTCACATTACCAATGTTGTTATTATCATTTCCAGGCTAGTGAAACTCCCTGAAAATATGTTACTTGACTTTGAAATAAAGGAAGTGGAAGTGGAAAAAGCAGAGTGGTAAATATCATCACTAAAGTTGCAATTAAAATTACCCATGTTGTCATTATCATTACGGGGGTAGTAAATTTCCTGAACAATTTGATGCGTGGGTTTGACTTAAAGGAACCGGAAATGGGAAAAGCAGACCGGTAAATGTCATAACTGAAGTTGCAATTAACATTTCCAATGTTGTCATTATCATTACGGGGGTAGTACAATTTCCTGAAGAATTTGATGCGTGAGTTTGACTTAAAGGAACCGGAAATGGGAAAAGCAGAGTGGTAAATGTCGTTACTCAAGTTGCAATTAACATTTACCCATGTTGTCATTATCATTACGGGGGTAGTACAATTTCCTGAAGAATTTGATGCGTGGGTTTGACTTAAAGGAACCGGAAATGGGAAAAGCAGAGTGGTAAATGTCATACGAAGTTGCAATTAACATTTCCAATGTTGTCATTATCATTACGGGGGTAGTACAATTTCCTGAACAATTTGATGCGTGGGTCTCAGTTAAGGGAACCGCAAATGGGAAAAGCAGACGGTAAATGTCATTACTGAAGTTGCAATTAACATTACCCATGTTGTCATTATCATTACGGGGGTAGTCAAATTTCCTGAACAATTTGATGCGTGGGTTTGACTTAAAGGAACCGGAAATGGGAAAAGCAGAGTGGTAAATGTCATTACGGAAGTTGCAATTAACATTTCCAATGTTGTCATTATCATTACGGGGGTAGTACAATTTCCTGAAGAATTTGATGCGTGGGTCTCAGTTAAGGGAACCGCAAATGGGAAAAGCAGACCGGTAAATGTCGTTACTCAAGTTGCAATTAACATTACCCATGTTGTCATTATCATTACGGGGGTAGTCAAATTTCCTGAAGAATTTGATGCGTGGGTCTCAGTTAAGGGAACCGCAAATGGAAAAGCAGACTGGTAAATGTCGTTACTCAAGTTGCAATTAACATTACCCATGTTGTCATTATCATTACGGGGGTAGTCAAATTTCCTGAACAATTTGATGCGTGGGATTGACTTAAAGGAACCGGAAATGGGACAATTTCCTAAACATGGGGATGCAAATGGGGAAACCATAGTGGTAAATGTCATTACTATAGTTGCAATTTCCCTTAACAATGTTGTGATTTTCATTACCCAGGTTGTGAAATTCTGACAATTTATACGTGGGGACGAAAATGCAGTTGCAAAAAGGAATAGCGAGGTGGTAACAATCATTAAAAAAGTTGTAATTTTCATTACCAATGTTGTCATTCTAGCGAAAATGGATTCAAAAAAAGTGATTTGGGCTTGAAAGACTTCAGATGCAAATGGCAACAGCGATGTCGTAACTATCATTACAGAGGTTGCAATTCTCAATCCGAAAGTTGTTAATCCTATTACTTGTGTAGTTAACCTGGGTCCAAGTGGATGTAATTTGGGGCACAAATAATCAACTTGTGATTATCATCACGGAAGTCACATGGCATGTTGTAAATTTCATAACTCTTTTACTCAAATTATCCCAAAAAGGATTGCAATTAGGCCAACAACTGGCAGCCACTTAGACTTCAAACTACATAAGACTTCAAATATTAAGACTTCAAACTAACACTCCTTTTACAAATACTATATGCCTAATCTACATAATGTCTCCTCCTATCACAGATGGCGTCTTTTGGTCAGTGTGGTGGCTTGGGTTGATGAAAGCAAGCTTAATGCTTCATCACGTCTTGAATTAAGCTCATGATTCACTAGCCACCACATGAGGTTTCGTCGGAATTCAGCCACTTGTTCATCCGTATAGTGAAGTATCTCACCGGGCTTCCATTTACTCAACCATATTAATACATGAACACCGCAGTCTCGCCTGCACATCAAAACATACCAACGATGTAAAAGAATGAAAATAACACATTGGGCTACTTTGAGACGTAATAATATCAACAACATAAACCACTCACAGATTGTTTTGTTGCGGAACAGGAGCCCAAATGATATCACTCATTTTCTTCTTCCCAGTGGCATTAGGCTTAACTATCTCAATAATGTCATAAAATCTATTCCTCTGCACAATATCATTACGCAATTGTAAATAAAAGGTAAATGAAATGTCAATCATAGAAGATGAGTTGCATTATCCTTACACATTCAGTGACGACGGTCGTCATGTCATCAATAATTACACCCTTCTTCTTGCTCTTCTTCTTACCCTCTAAATTTGGCTTCATTGAGTCCAGCACATAGAAATTCATTGTGCTAGGCTCAAGCACAACACAGAACCAGTGAGCGCCAACAAGTGTGGGTCCAAAGATCAAATCACATTCTCCTATGTTGTAGCCTACATTTTCAGGTAAAAATTGTTTCTTCCGTTTTGTAGCATCCCACAGCTTTGGGTTAGCTGCCATTATTGCCTGAAACATGAACATTTTAGTCATTTATCAATATCAATCGACAAAAAACTAACATCTCAGCAAGCTTACCATAAAATCAGCATAAAAAATGTGCCGCTTCACCTGCCCTTCCTTCTCCATATCAGCCATTAGAGTCTTGCACACAGTTGACATCAGCTGTACGCAAAGAGATTATTGTTTTGATGAACCCAAAATGCAGCATCTACTAAACAATTAAATGACCTCATCACAAATATTCTACTTACCCGGTTACCTATTTTCTCAATTCCGCCAAGTGTCCTTAGCTGATCCCGAGTGATATCTTCATCAGAGATTTTCACCAAAGGCCTAAAAATATGTTGTCAATATCATTATGCATATAGTCAATTACCACAAAATTGTAATGAATATGATTACGTGGGTAGTGGATATGTACATACATGTCACCCTCCTTGCTTGAACACATACGGGAAACTATGTCATAAAACCGGTCCTTGTCATCCATGGGCCTCTTTCGCCTCTTAGTTGGCTTTGTCAAAATCCATGGAGAATTGATAGCGGATTTCATCTCCCTTTGCGATCTCCGGAGTTGACATCCCTTGTCCATGGGGGACAAGGGCAGGGGAGACTCCATAATTTCTTTGTCTGCACCTTCTGCTGCAACACCAATGTCATCACCCCTATCTGAGCCAGTTGCATCATCGTCTCCCTGACCATCTCCCCCGTGGAACTCATCTCTATCATCACCTTCGTCATCAGACTCATGTCCATCATGATCATGGGAGTCTTCATCGCCAAATGCATCATCATCTCCCTTATCATCATCTGGGACGTCAATAGGGTCCTCATCATCTGTGGTCACATTATTTTCCTCTATCCTTATCTGCACCTTATCTAGCTCATCTTCCATTGCACTTATAAGCCTCATAGTGCTTAATTCGATCTGAGCCATCAATCGTCCGTGCAACTTCTGTAACTCCTGCAGCAAACAATTTAAAATGAGTAAACACTTTTTTCATGAGATTATTTGCTAATGAGAATGAAAATTAGTAATGAAAGCACATACCGGGTGTAAATGAGCCACACTTCTGCGTTTTCCTTCATCCTTCCCACTTCTATCCATACTTCCCTTGCCCTTATACAGTAAACCCCTCTTGCTTTCCCTCTCCTTCTTTTCCAGCTTCCTTATCCTCTCATCAGTCCAGAATTGAATGGCATTTAGGGACCCTCTCTCAACAGTTTTGGATAGTGGGAAGTGCTCAGCAAAATATAACTACAATAGTAAATCATTAACTTGCCAATTCCACAAATAAAGAAAACAATAACTTAGAAGCATAAGTCAGAAATACATACCAACAGGAGGTAGATGCATCCTCCCACATTGCAGCTTCCTTCATCTTCATCTTCGTCTTTCTTTGCTTTTGTGTACACTTTCACATAATCTCCCATCTCTTTCCACAAGTGCTTCACAATGTACGTGGCCCAATCAAATTGGTGAAATCCCTTCATGGTACAGCACATGACTCTTATTAGCTTGTCACTCACAGTTGTTTGTGAAGTAGGAGTTAAAAAACTCCCAAGTGTGTACAGCATAAACAGGAACTCAAACTCATCTTTCTTCTGCCCAGATTTAATGTCATTGAGTATCTTCGTATAAGGGACTTTACCAAATTCCTCCTTCAACCTCTGGTATGTCTCATCATCATCACATACGTCCATTTTTACCTTCTCCCCTGTGTGGGGTACACCCAACAAGTTTGCAACATCATTTGCTTCTATTTCCTTTATTATCCCTCTTATTAGAAATTGATGGGTAGGCGGATCATATGCTCGGAGAACACATACTATGAGGTCACGAGGGAGTCTCTCACATCCAATGTCAAGTAAATGGCCAAAGCCTAAATTTTGTACCCTCACTTTCAAATCTTCATCATCTTTTATGAAGTCCACTAATGACTTAAATTGCCGAACCGAGCAACGAGTGCTAAAAGCCACTTTTTTCTTCCTCTTCTTCTTCATCCCTTCCTTTCTTGATTGCTTCACCCTATCACTGTATTTCTTCTGCTCCTCTGGTGTCAACTGCTTCCATGCCTTTGATGCCTTTTTCGCTTGTTCAGACATATTCTTAAACTTCTCCCCACCCTTAAGAAATTCTCGTCTAAACAACATGTAGCCATTCTTCACTTCTTCACTTGGCCCTCCTTCTACAACAAGCATAAATAACTAAATCTGGTCAGTTGAACAGCTCAACTTTCTTTGCATTTCAAAAAAGTTGTCATTACCATTTCCAGTGTAGTCATTCACATTATAGGTGTTGTTATTTAGCCACAAAATGAACCTCGACTATTTACTACTCATATAACTAAATTTGCTGATCACGTAATGAATGTTATTGCTTCTTTCTCACTTCACAGAACAGAGCAGAAAATAGAGACTAATGACATAATACACTTTAACAACAAACTAAAAACAATCTAACTTACCAAACCTATATAACTCAACCACTTAATTCCTATTACAACTGCATATTACCGTTTGTCGCAGTCACAGTTACTTCGCCAACCTCCTCCATGACAGCAATGCGATTGATGCTTCTCAGCACTTCAGCGACCTCTACCTCTTCAATCCTCAAACCAGCAGATTAATCTCTACCTCTTCAATCCTCAGACCAACAGATTCAAAAATAAATGAATATGCATTAAAAGTGATTCTTTCTCGATGAAATGTTACAAAATTTGTATCTTCAAGTAACTTATATTATGGAAATTACTACTACACAGTGCCACAGATGACCAAGTAAATTATACCAATACATAAGAAGGCCACAAAGGTTATTCTCACTTGGTACATACTGAAATGAATATGCATGTTCATCCCCAGGTAAATTGCACCGCTAAATGACTGAGGTTATGCCCATTAGGTAGCTATATCTTCAAAACAGAGTTCTACCCACGAAAAGTCACCCCTTTCAATTTATTTTACAATGTTAAATTTGCATAACCAATATGGGGATACAGTTGAACTCATTTTAGTCCCATACACAATGCTAAAAATGTGCAATGCCCATTACACGAACAGACCAAACAAGGGGGCGGAAACAGGAAGCATCCTGCTCATGTGCGACAGTGGTCTCAATTTATGGGCATCTAAAAAGTAGTGTAGCAATCATAAACACACACGTATATTATGCCTTCCAACATTACAGCAACACAGCAATCAGACAACAACAATCAGAGAGATATCTCGTCAAACATGGACCGAGTTATATGAATCAGAGCAAGCAAGCAACTTCTGTAATTCCGTCACACACAGAAGCACCGACTTTTAATCTAATCTACCTTTACATTCCATTTTAAGCCTTTACCATTGCTTCCCCCTTTACAACCAACATTCACCGTTTTCCCCAAATTAAAACACTCCAATCAGACAAGCACAAGACGGAGACATTTGGGTGGCTTACCGGGGTCCGAACGAATATCGACTTCTTCCTCAACCGGTGACGACCTTACAGGTGCTCTCCCTCGAAATCTCTCTCTCTAGCCACCCCCTCTCCCTTCTGAAGATTGAAGCTTCTCACTGGTTTATTGCTTCTCACTACGACCCACGGAAAAGACGAAGAAGCCGGACGCTATTCACATTCCTCGTTCACAGTTCCTCAACCATGCCAATGTGAGACTTGCGACAACCATATGCAGTTTCGCCGAGTGCAATGTGAGAGTTCGGAGAACCCTATGGTCTATGCAGTTTCGCCGAGTGGAGAACCGCCAACCAAACTCCAGTTCCGTTGCACAATATCCCGCCCTCTGATTCCCGAAAAAATTAAGGGCATTTCAGTCTTTTGGGCGAATTACTCAAATTCCAGATTGATACCCCATGCCCATTTTGTCATTTCAGTAATTTACATGCCCATTTTGTCATTTTAGAATTCAACAGTCATTTTCTTGTATTTTAACAGTATTCTTCTGACGTATTAATGGTTTATATATATATAATATATATTATTATAAAAAGTATTAAAATAACATAATATAGATAACTACTGAAACAAGAAGATGGGGGGAATGGGGATGATTTCACCGAAAGAAAAGATGTTGGGGATGAACACGGACGGAGACGGGATATCGGGAAAAACAAAGAAAAAGAGGCGGCGAGCTGGAAGCAACAGAGAGAAAGATATTTGAATCCAGGAGCTACAACCTCGTGAGAGCCATCAACATGTCAAGGAGTAGGAGAAAGAAGATGAAGATGGTGTCGGAGAGCTAATGAGGAACGTGGGCGTACAGGAATGGCAGTGATAAA